ATTGCCTCCCATATAAGGCCTCTTATGGAGCCGTCTGGGTGGTTGACTGGTAGTTTTTATTGTAAGTGAACTCTGCTAGTGGTAGAAAGTGATCACACTGACTCCCGAAATCAATGACATAGGCTCGAAACATATCCTATAAGATCTAAATAGTACGCTCGAACTGCCCATCCATCTGAGGATGAAATATCGTACTCAACTCGACCGGTGTGCCCAACTCATGCTGCACGGATCTTCAAAAATGCGATGTAAACTAAGTGCCTTGATGCAAGATAATAGAAACTGGCACACCATGCAAACAAACGATCTCTCTAAGATAAATTCAAGCCAGCTTCTCAGAGGTGTAGGTAGTCATGACCGAAATGAAATGTGTAGACTTGGTCAGCCTATCCATATATAACATAGTCTGTCTAACTACCACTTTATAGAACTTGCCCTTAAGTCTTGGTGATAAAATACCATATGCAAGCCTCCATTTCATCCACCTGGCTCTAATACGATATGTAACATCCTCGTCAATTTTCCCCTTGCCTTGGATAACAAACCAAAAATATTTGAAACTATCTCTCTTGGGGATGACTTGTGTATCAAGCTTCACTTCCACTTCTGCTTCATGCATCTCGTCACTAAACTTGCATTCCAAGTATTCTGTTTTGTTCTACTCAACTGAAAACCTTTAGACTCCAGGGTCTGTCTCCAAACCTCCAGCCTTACGTTAACCCTAAAATGCATCTCGTCAATCAACACTATGTCATTTGCAAATAGCATACACCATGACACCTTCCATTGGATGTGTTACATCAGCACATTTATCACCATAGCAAATAAAAATGAGCTAATAGCTGATCCTTATTGTAACCCCATCATCACTAAAAAATATTCTGAGCCTCCTCTCACAGTAGTTACCCAAGTTTTAGCACCATTGTACATATTCCTAATCACCTTAGTATATGCTACTAGAATGATGATAGCCTTCAAACATATCTATAGAACCTCCCTCGGGACTTTGTCATAGGCCTTTATAGGTCAATGAACACCACATGCAAGTCCTTCTTCCTCGCCCTATACCGCTTCACCAATCTGCTCACAAGATGAATGGCTTCTGTTGTCGATCGCTCAGACATGAATCTGAATTGGTTCTCAGAAATGGACACACTTCTCCTAACCCTCCCCTCCACCCATACACTCTCCCGAACTTTCAGCTGGATACCCTATAGTTGGTGTAATTTCTGACATCACTTTTATTCTTGTACAACGATACCATAAAACTCCACCTCCATTCACCGAGCATCTTGTTCGTCTTAAAATGACATTAAAAAATCCGGTAAGCCACTCCAAGCTTGTCCGGCATGCGTTCTTCCAAAATTCTATCGGGATGTCATCTGACCCAACCGCTTTAACCCTGCTCATCTTCCGCATTACCCCCTCAACCTCCTCCACTTTAATATGCCTACAAAACCCAAAATGTCGCTGGTTCTCCAATTCACCAAGCACGATGCTCTTGTCCCTATCCTCATTTAGGAGTTTATGGAAGTATGTTTGCCACCTACACCTAATACATACCTCTTCCACCAATACATTGCCTTCATCGTCTTTGATGCACCTCACTTGATCCACGTCTCAAGCCTTCCTCTCTATAACCTTGGCTAACCTAGACAGTCTCTTGTCATCACCTCTGCCCCAAGTTTCTCATACAAGCGTCGAAACGTGCAGTCTTGTCCATCATGACCGCTAACTTCACATATTTTTTAGCCTTCTTATAACACTCCCTATAAATCCTCTTCTCCTCCTCAACTGCGCTCTTCACTAGGTTGAAATATGTTACTTTCTTAGCCTATACCTTTTATTTACTCTCTCAAAGAACATGAGAAGCAGTAATAAGTTAACATTTTATTTTTGCAATAAAAGTAGAAGTCTTCGGTGTGCACACTTGTCAACAATATACTAAGCAATTTACATTTTCAACCATTTTGCTAATAATTGCAGAAACAAAAATTTATACATTCCTTTTAAATTGAAAAAAGTAAGAAAGAATTACAAGAAAGTACACGTGACTTCACACCATAACAAAAAATGGCCCATATTTTTAAATTATACCCGACCTAGCCCATATTGTATATATTTTGAAAGCACTAGCAAATTCAAAATTTGTGTTCTTACAACCATTGTTTCTAAAAGCTATGGAATTAAATCTGTGTTCTCACAACCATTGTTTTCACTCTCTCTTCTTCTCACATCTTCTACATATGCTTCAAGGTGCCGTGTATTTCTGTTTCTCCCCCGTGTCACCTGATTGCAATGTAAGAAAATTGAAGGGTAGAAATCCACCATTGAAGGCCATTCAAAGCTTTGCTTTCGAAGATAGGATTTTTTGAGTTTGTTAGTTGTTTGGATGTGGTATTGTTCCAATTGATTGAAAAAGTCAAAAGGAGTTCAAAAATTTCAATTTGAAGTGATTTGGAGTAGATTTGAGCAAGATTTGAGTTAAATTTCAGAAAAGACGCAAGGAAGAAGACGAAGTCAGTTTTTTGTATAATTATGTATAATCTTGTATATTAGTGTATAAACACATCTTATACACATTTATACAAGCGTATGTAGACGAACTTCTTCCACGGTTTTCAGTTACAATCCTTGTTCAAAATCAGTCCAAATCTTTATTAAAGGACTTCAAATTTTATATACAACCTCCTTATACTATTTCTAACAAGTCTAAATAACACCCACTCTAAATTTTTCGCAAAATCAAATTCGAATTTTAACCCACATATTTAAACTTGTTAAAAAATCTAATTTTCACCATCCAAATGAATTTGGTTTGTTGAACTAATATTTGAGTCACAGTTACTTATTCGAAAATTAACTTAAAAGCTTGAGCAATCTTTTTTAAAAATTAAATAGTAATTTCGAAAACCTATCGGAGTTGGATGTTGAATCTTAGCCTATTATTTTTGGTCTAGTTAGTTGTAAATTGAAATATGGGCTATAAAATTGAAGATTAAGGAGCCCAATTATTATTATGTGAATTTATCCCAAAAAGTAATTACGTAACAATTGATTAAAGAATTAGAATTATGAAAGTGAATGACCCAAAATTTCGAGTACTAATTAATTACATCAAATAATTATGGGATAATTTCACATAAATACAACTCACACACCTGACTTGCAACATAATAGCCTAGATATCACTTTGCAAATTTATAGCCCAAAAATAATCGGCTAATTCCTGAAAAACAGCTTATTTCACACAATCAACTACCGTTATTGCTCCCTCTTTATACAATCAGTTGTTTTCATTCTCTTGATTTCCTTTGATTATTAAGCATTTGATAAAAAAAATGCAAAAAAGCCACAACACAACTCAAAAATCCTATCCTGAATAATACATATTATCTGAAGGTAAGAAATTCAAACACTTTTATGTGCAATTGCTGAAGCAATCCAACAGGATAAAAGAAAAATAAAAAATTTGATAAATGAATTGTAAAATTCCTCCAACGCGTACAAATCTGTTTCATATAGCATATACACGAAAAAGAAGAAGAGAAGGAAGTGTCAAACTTCTGTAGAGATCTCTTACACGCTAACAATGTATATACATCCTTATAAACTGGAAAAATATATATTTATACAACATTATACACAAATATACACAATTATACAATATTGTATAAACATGTATAATAGTGTATAAGAGGTGTCTGTATACCTATATACACAATTATACACTATTATATAGTGTCGATACAACCTGCTACATAGTTATGATTTTCCAGAATTTCAAACTTCAAACTCTTCCAAAATTACCAGAACTTCAAACTTCAAAATCTTCCAAAATTAGTGGTTGTTTGTTGGTGCAAATCAAGTTTGAGAGCCATTTATTTTCAAAATCTGTGTGTATTTTCATGTTTCTTTCAAAAATCTTCTTCATTCTTCTGCTTGCCACCATGGACGACGGAGTAGGAGCCCGACCTTCTTCGAGCCATTAATGGCAGAACTATGTGGGGGGTAGAGGAGGGGGAATAGCGGGGGCTAGGTTAAGAGAAGATGAGAGATCTATATGGGTTAGAAAGAAAGAAGTGAGAGGCGGTGAGAGAGAGAAGGGAATGAAGAAAGAAGAAAATAATAAAAACCCTAAAAGTATGTCTTTAATAGTGGGCTAAAGGCTGAAAAGCTTCTTTCAAGTTATGTACAACATGGGCTAAATAGAGGAAGAACTTCAAATGTGGGCCATTTTCTGTTGGGCTATTAGGCCAAGTGACATGGGCTGTAATTCCTTCAATAATTATTTATATTTTATTTCAAGGGAACCTATCTATACCATATATCAAACCTTATTACCTTCATTGTTTAAGGATTGTGTTAATTACATTTAAGCATATCAAATTACCATTTATATACCATAATTCAAATTAGGGGTATAATTATTCCTTCATTTATTGTAGGCGTGATTTTAGGACCGTATTTTCACGTTATTTCGTTTAACCGCCTCT